TCCAGAACTACCAGCCCTCCCCCCCATCTCAGCCCTCTGTATCAGTTCTTCCTCTCGCACCTCATTTGTATAATTCTTTTTTTTACCTTTTCCTAGATGGTTTCCTTTTTAGAATCACCTCATACTCAGGTCTACCCCAATCTTTCTTTTGAACTACCCAATTATTAATAACAATCTTACACATATGTTTTATATTTCTTCATATAAAAAGTAAACAGTCTGTCCTTATTGAGCCCCTTGTAATCAGTCTTTGATGTGTACTTTATATTTCCCTTAGATCTTCTGTTAAGGTCAGAGTTTTTGTTGTTGTTGTGGTTTTGTTTTGTTTTGTTTTTTACAAAATCCTGAAAGTCTGCCGGTTGATCAGATGGCCATTTCTTTTCATTCAGGATTATGTTTAACTTTGCTGGGTATGATATTTTCCGCCGCAACCCCAGTGCTTTTGCTCTTTGACATATAGTGCCCTCTGCTTGTTAGGTCCGAAGCATCAGGCATTGCCAAACTCGTGGTTTCCCTACCACTTCCTGTGAGTGCCAATAGCCCTGGCCTTGGGATGCAGTTGAGCATCCCAGCACGTATTGAGCACACACACTGTATGCCAAGCATTGTGTGCTAAGCACCGGAGGGGGGAGAACCTCGAGACAGAACACAGACGTGTGCAGATGCACACAGGGGAGTCTTCAAGGACCAGAAACCAGCACTGATGCTGACTGCCACCAAGTTTCAGCTTAATGCACTTCAACTCAGGTGAGGGGAGTGATTGTGTGTGAAGAAAGACAGCATGCAGTATGTTGGAAAGATTATTGGACTTCTCTTGGTTCCAGTTCTAGGCCCACCATTCACTAACCATGTGACCTTACATAAGCCATTCATTTCACCCTGGAAGCCTTTTTCCTCAGCTATAAAATGGGGATGATAATACTTGTATTGCCTGCCTCAAGGTGTAGTCATGGGGAAAGCCACTTGGAAACAATAAATGTGAGTTTTTTCTTATTCCTATTCTGGGATCTCTCTGAGATTTACTTTCTTGATTTTTAAAAAGGCATAATAATAACTGCCTCATAGAGTTGTGAGTATCAAATGAAATGATGGTTATGAAAAGGCTTTGTGACCATAAAGCATCCACCATAAATAAACGTATCACAGCTCACATATATGAGCTATTATCAATGATACCAATGATGGGGATGCAGAACGAGCAGTGACATAGTTCACCAGACTGTGTCCCAAATTCAGCTCAGGGCCTTTTCCTGCTAAACCTGCTTCTCCTTTTATCTTCATCATTTCTGCTTGTGCTACTGTCGTCCTCCCAAGCTTCCATCTTTCAAACCTTAGAGTTCTCTTCTCTCTCCCTCCTCCCATCCAGCCACTTACCAAGTGCTCTCAGTGGTACTTCTGGAACTGTCTTGCATCCATCTATCCATCCATCCATCCATCCCTCCCTCCCTCCATCCATCCATCCATCCATCTATCCCTCCCTCCATCTATTCATCCATCCATCTATTCATCCATCCTTCCCTCTCTCTATCTTTCCGTCCCTCCATCCATCCATGTCTCCCTCACTCTCTTCCTCCCTCACTTCTTCCTCTGTATTCCCACCACCACCAGTACCTGGCCCTTATTACCACCGGCTTTGGCCTAGCGAAGTAGGCTGCTTTGAGGGCTCTGCTCTCTTCTCCCCTTAATCCATGTAGTACGTTGCAGGCAGAATGATCTTTTTTTCAAGGACACTTTAGTGGCTGCCTATTACCTCTAAAGTAAAATTCCAGCGCTTCGGCCTGGCCTTCCAGGACCTCCAGCATAGTGCTCCACCTTGCTTTTCCAGATCTCAGATGTCTCCCTTCCATTCATTTAAAGCTTTGGTTAAACCAGACAACTCTGCCCCTCAACTGCCTCCTGTCCTCCCCCACCCATGTGCTTTTGCCCTCATTTTTCTCCAAGCTTGTGATGATCTCCTTCCCCTTTTTTACCCACCCTTCAAAGCCCAACTCAAATGTTGCATCCTCCAGGAAACCTCTTAGTACCCTGACTGATCATGACTTTCCTCCTGGACTCCATGGGCACTTTGCTTTGTGGTTCTGCAACATACTTATAATTTAGTGTTGTTGTTATTGTTGTTCAGTCATTTCAGTCATATACGACTCTGTGTGACCCCATTTGAGGTTTTCTTGGCACCGATACTGTCATGGTTTGCCATTTCCTTCTCCAGTTCATTTTACAGTTGAGGAAACTGAGGGAAACAGGGTGAAATGACTTGCCCAGGCTCACACAGCTAGTAAGTGTCTGAGGCCAGATTTGAACTCAGGGAGACAAATCTTTCTGACTCTAGGTTCAGCGCTCTATCCACTGTAGTGCCACTTAGCTGCCCCTATAATTTAGTAGTATGTATTCTAGTTCTCTTTTGGTTTCTTGTCTCCCTGCTGGAATGTAAGCTCCTTGAGGATAGAGTGTGTGTATTATCTTAGAGCAGATGAACCCCATGCCTCATAGTTTGTTTGTATTTCCTAAGCATAGGATAGCTAGGTGACACAGGGCAGGTTGGAGGTCATTCAGCAGCATTTTGGGTAAAAGAAAGTAGGCCCCCTTAGGACTAGAACCTTGCTGGGCTAGAAATTTGATGCAGCTCTGAGAGTCTCATTCCGCTCTGGGTATCCATCCCCCCACCCTTCCTCCCCAGAACCAGTGCAGGAGGAGGATGACTCTGTGGGCCATAGAGTTTGGTTCCTAGGCATTGCTTGGCATATGAGAAGGCAAGTACCAGCTCTGGATCTTGGCCTTCGGCAGTGAGCCTTGGATTTTTAGAGATGGAAGAGGCCTTAGACCATCAGGCTCAATGCCCTCATTTTACAGAGAGAAACTAAGGCCTGGAGAGGAAGTGACTTGCCCAAGGTCACCCAGGGAGTTAGCCAAACCAGGTCTAGACTCCGAGTCCCTTCTTTGGGGGGCCTTGGTTTCCTTCTCTATAAAATCCAAAGAGTAATCTGTGGTCTCCTGGGCTTGTGGTTTGGATGTTTTGGGAGGAAAAGTGTCTTGACCTCCTTGGAGAAAGCAGCTCTACTAGAATCTGCCAAATGGGGGGGCATTCCAGGTGGCTGGGCTGAAGCCCTAACCAGCCCTTTCCCAATTAGGTCCTGTCCACGTTCCATGCCCCCCGGGCCCCCTTTGAAACTAATTACTGACCTCAGCAGCTACTGCTTCTAGGTTTCGCCATGGTAATGGGCTGCTTTTCTTCCACCCCCAAAGAGGAGGGACCCATGCCCACCAAAGCTTCACCCCTCCTCAATGGGGCCGCTGCCAGCTTGCCCCACCTCTGCTGGGAGGTCCCTCAGGCCCACTGTCCCTGGCAAATTCAAAGGCTGGCACTGTTTTGTGGGGGATTTTGAGGGGGGAGGAATGGGGTCTGGGAATTGGCCCCCTGGGACCTCACTGAAGGTTTTTCTACCACTGCCATCCCTTTGAGCAGGCCTGGATTCTTCTGCAGTGCCCACTGTTGCCTGCCAGCACCCAATGATAACAGTTAAAGAGTGCGTTTGGTGCTCGTGGCGACCAATGAACTGCCACATATCTCTGCTGCTTTTCAAGCTAAGCATCCGGGCTCTGGGAACTGGTTGGACAATAAGCTAGTTCATCAGAGGGAAAAGCTCATGTGACGTGGTTATATCGCTCTCACTCAGCTTGCTTTTTCCTCCCCCTCCCTCCCCCACCCCCAACTGTTTTTCTTTGAGGCAGTAGAACAACACCATACTGGTACATTGACCAGGCTGCCCCTTTCTTGGGCATGAAACCAATGTTTTTCCATCTCCCTCCTCCTCATAGCAACCTAGGAAGGCACACAAGGGCACAGAGACCCTTAATGCTCCCTTTCACAGATGGGCACACTGAGGCCCAGAGGAAAGAAAGGGAAGGCTCCTCGTGGTGATAAGTCAGTGACAGACCTCGGGCAGGAGCCCAGGGCTCAGGCCCTTTTCCCTACCAATTGAAATTGAACTGAATCCAATATGGTGACTAGCTGGAAGACTTAGAGGGGTTAGCCGACCAACTAGAGGGGGCTTTGCCATGAGGCACTGTGGTGTTTGCATTTCAGTCTGTCTTGTCTGGTCTGATCTGACTGTCTAGCCAGGTATTTCTGTGACTCTCAGGAAGATGCCTGGCTGAGTTTGGAGACTCGCACAGACCTACAGTGCACAATCTGAAATTAAAAGTACGTTCTGGAAGCCTAAAGCAAGGTTCCTGTGGGGAGGTACAGGGAGGGTTAGGAGGGACCCCACAGTTAATACTGCTTGGCAGCCTAGAGGACTAGGCAGTGGAAGCAGGAGGGGAAGGAAAGGAGGCAGGTATGTGGTGAACTTCTTATATTGGGCCAGCAGTCTGGATGGTCGTAGTTCTTGGGGAGAGAGCCTGAGAGAGACCCAGCACCCCTTCCCTTTGATTGTCTGACAAGGCAATAAGAAGGCTACACCCCCCTTCCCCAACAAGAGAGAGTGAGCCCTGCCAGAGCTGTGCCACGTAGCTAGCTCTGGGGAGGATGCCCTCCAGGGCTGGCCGGAAGCCAAGCCCTTTTCTAGCATTGTCATTTGGTCTGCTAAGAACAGGTTGGTGGCACATGCAGGTGACTGCATCCAACTGGAGAAGTCAGCTGTGAAGGGTCTCACCATTCACATTCTGGCTAAGTCCCTTGGCTGCTCAGTGCCTTAGTTTTCCCATCTGTAAAATGAGAATCTAGATCCTCATGTACCATGACTGGCAAGGCCCTTTGCCGAGACAAAGAGTGCCTAGAATGTTATTAAATACTAAGGGAGACCAAAAGGGATGACGTAGCAGGAGGTACATAAGGTGGGCCGAAAAACTTCTCAGGCATAGGGAGCTGATTCCAACTTAGGCCTTTCAGCTTGGAGTTTCTGGCCCTCTGCTGAGGCCCCTGATCTATTTGTCTTATATTCAGTCATGAGCTCAACTCTCCCTCTTCTCTTTTTCCTCTTCTACTCCACCCCTTCCCACAGATGATACTGAAGACAACCTAGGACAATGCCACTGGTCAAGAGGAACATTGAGCCCAGGCACTTGTGCCGAGGTGCCCTGCCCGATGGGGTCACCAGCGAGCTGGAATGTGTCACCAACAGCACCCTAGCTGCCATCATCAAGCAGCTGGGCAGCCTTAGTAAGTGGGCTGGGCTTCAGGAGCCTGCGGCCAGGCCTGGGGTATATCCTTGTGCACGGAGCCATTCACCTTTTTCTCCTGATTTGGCCTCTTTGACCGTGGGGGGCGGGCAGTAAAGGATCATAATGTCTAAGGTTGAAGCTTTAGACTTGATCTTCTCAAATCTCTCATTTTGTAGGGGATACTGAGGTCCAGAGAAGGGAAGTAACGCAGTCCCTGCCTTTGAGGAGTTCATAGTCTTAGGAGGTCACAGATTTTTGAGGATAGAAAGTGATCTCAAAGTGTCATCTGGTCAATTCCCCTGCCTCCAGACAAGTAGGCAGCATATCTAGGCCATCCCAGAAAGTTTATTTATCGTTGGTTTCATCCTGAACGATTTCTCTAGATACACTACCTCCTGATGGCCAAGAGACTCTTCCTAAATGCTTCCCCGCCATGATGGCCGACCTCGCCATGATGGCCGACCCGTCCATGGGCTACTCACTAACTTGGGCAAATCGCTCTCTTTTCCTGAGCCTCATAAGACTATGAAATGAGGGCTCAAACCCCAAGCTCCCTAAGGTCCCTTCCAGCTGTCATGTTTTGATAACTCTTAGTGAGCAGCCCAGCTCCCAGAAAATGGGCAGTGTGTGCAGAGGCGCTCATGTTGCTAGAGTTGCCTAGTGAGGTGCTCTCCCATTAGCAGCAGAGGGCAGGCTGGGATTTAGGCAGAAACCTCCTTCCCCGTCGAGACATTGCCTGGGATAGTGGCAAAAGCCTCAGCTTGGGAGGGAAGCTGTGGCCTTAAGCCCTGGCTCCAGCACATCGAAGCTGTGTCATCAGTAGGCAAATGACTTTACCTCTGTGGACTTCAGGGTCCTTGGAATAGGAAATGGGGATAATCGTTGCCCTCCCTGGTCCACAGAGTTGTTTTAGAATTTGTTTTGCGGAAAGTGCTTTTTAAACCTTTAATGCGCACTGTTACCATTGGGACAGGAAATTCGGTGAAGCATTGGGGAAGGTCTGTGATTTGAACTGCTCCAGATGGCTTGGGGCCTGGCTGCGGGGCCCCTCCCTTTCCCCGTGTCCTAGCCCTAGCATTTCACCTCTCAGCCAGATTTTCCCAAATGGAGGACCCTCCATGCCAACTCCCTGGAGCTTAGAGGCTCTCATCGGGAAACCAGTGGGAAATGTGCTTCCCATTTGGCTAGTGAACCTGCACTTATCAGGTCAGCTTAGAATGCCTGGGGATCCAGGGGACAGGATGCAGAATGGGAAGGAATATGGCATGGCATGCTGGGAGAGACATCAGGGTCAGGAGGGACCTTTGGCCATAGCATGCCATTATCTGGGTGGGGGACCACAGGACATGGCGTTGGACCCACCTCGAAGGACCTTAGGACACAGAATTTCAGTGCTAAGAGGGATCTTGGAACACGGAACACCAGTATTGGGAGGGGTTGGGGGTTCAGCTTAACTCTTCATTTTACAGATGAGGAAATTGAGGCTCAGAGGTAGTCATTGATTTGCCCAAGGTCAATAGTCAGGTAGTGAAGCTGAGTCTCGAACAAGGTCTCCTGATTCTCAGACCTGTGTTCTTTCCTGTGTGTCAGAGCCTTCTCTCTCCCCCACTGCTTCCAAGGCTCAGCCTTAGCAGACAAGAGGGATGAGGCTGCAGAGAACAGCTATTCCCAGCAGGGAGAGCATTTTCATGCAGAGACTGCCTCCTGTCCCCAAGAGGGCCCCAGCTGAAGTAGCTGTGGCTGAGGTCTGAGAAATAGCAATGGCAAAGTAGATTGGGGGAGACCCTAGAGGCTTCACCCTGTGGCGTAGTGACATAGCACGTGTTCTACAGGCCAGTCTGCTCCCCCATTCCTTCCTGTCACCTTTCAGGACTCTTTGGCCCCAGGCAGACAGCAGCCTCTGTCGTAAGGGCCATTGGCATGGAGTAGACCTAACAACACTGAGCTGTCAGAGACTTGGCATGTCCCACTTTTCTCCTCTATTGATACTGTAAAAAGAGGACAGAGCAGGTAGAGGGCCATTTTTAACTCAAAGGAATGGTTATCTAAGGATAAAATTTTAGGTATCAGCAGGAGTGCCAGTTTTGTGTCCCTCAGATCATACCCATAAGGCTGCTCTTGTTGGAACTTTGAGGAAGACGAGGATATGAACTCTAAATGATGTGAAGGCAGTAGGGGTGTGGATGATGCTGCCTGCCACTGGGCAAGTGGAGGAGGCCCAAGAGTGGTAGCCAGTCATTAGAGCAGTACAGCTGCTCAGAATCTCACTAGCTTGCAGAAGCCTGCCCATAATCACAGAATCTGAGTGTTAGAAAGGATCTCACAGGACATAGAATCCACCCCCTAGCTGAGCAGGAATCTCCTCTACAACTCTCAGTTGTTAGTTGCAGACCTCCAGTGATGGGGAGCTCATTACCTCCTGAAGTAGCCCATTTTGTTTTGGCACAGTGCTCATTATTAGGAGGGCTTTCCTTATATTGAACTGAAATCTGCTTCTCTGTGGCAGGCAGCACCATCTACATCTGATTAGCAAAGTCGGGGCTGCCCTGTCTGCTCTGGCCTTCGGGGCGGGGCGGGGGGGGGGCGCTCCTGTGGCAAAGTCAGGAGCCACTGGCCTCTCCAGCCACCCAGGTTGTCTGTGGAAGAGATGTAGCAACACTGGTCTCAATGAGATTGTGACCTCTTCTAATCGAGCAGCATCGTGGTACGGTGGGAAGAGCTGAGCACTTAGTCTACTCCTCTGCCTTAGACCACACAAGCAGTCCCCTCTCTGAGCTTCAGTTGCCTCATCTGTAAAATGAGGATCCTGAACTTTGTCCACCTCACTGTGCTGCCTCATTGTTAAAAATAAGAAATGTACCTGGTGGGCCAGACGCCAAGACCTTCCCAGACCTGCAATTGTTCACCTGGCTTTAGCCGACCGCCAGCATGGAGAAGTGATCTGTAATTATATGACAGAAGTACTTGGGGGAAGTCGGGATGTTTAGGCTGGAATCCTCAAGAGAAAATTTAGCGAGAAGACAAGCTGGCCGTCTTCGACTGTCCTGGGGAAGAGGGACTAGGACAGTATGGGGAACCTACAGACTCGAGGCCACCTGTGGCCCTCTAGGTCCTCAAGTGCGGCCCTTTGATTGAATCCAAGCTTCCCAGAACAAATCCCCTTAATAAAAGGATTTATTCCGTCAAACTTGGACTCAGTCACAAGGCTGCACCCAAGGACCTAGAAGGTCCCATGTGGCCTCGAGGCTGCAGGTTCCCCACCCCTGGACTAGGCTTAGTTTGCTTGATCCCAGAGGGCAGAAGTGGGAGCATGGAGCTGAGGTGGGGGAGCTGAGGGATCCAGGAAATTGGGAGGCCTTCAAGCAGAGGCCGGATGAGGATTCTTGTCCGCGTGTGAGTTGGATCAGGTGACCCCGAAGATCCCCTCAGCTCAGAGATTCTGTCGGTCAGCAAACAGGAAAGCTGGACACGGGTTGGCTAAGGCCAGTGGTTGGCCTCGAGAGAGTATTGTGGGGAACCCCCTTAAGACTTTCTTTGTCCCTCTCCCTCCAATTCCAGGCAGACATGCAGAGGACATCTTTGGGGAGCTCTTCAATGAAGCCAACAGTTTCTACATGCGAATGAACTCGCTGCAGGAGAGGGTGGACCTCTTGGTGATTAAGGTCACACAGTTGGACTCCACTGTGGAAGAAGGTGGGTAGGGCAGGGTGAGCCGAGGGAGCAGCACTCTTTCCTGGTGCAGGGCAAGGCTGCTTTTTCTCCTTCTTGCCTAGATTATTTCCTGCTTTCTCAGGGGATACCTTAGGCCTGGTGTTTGTTAGGGTCTTAGGCCAGAGCCCCGGCACCAGGGCTCCAAGGGGGCACTGTGATATTGGTTTGTCTCTCTGTGACTTGTTTATACCTTCAAAGCTGGCCCTAGTTGTGTATTTTTTCAAATCAGTTTTCCTGATGCTTTTTGTTTGTATCTTCTGATCACTTTTGGCTATCCCAAATTTGAATTCTTCTGTTATGATGAAAAACAGTTAAGCAAGGACAGCTGATAACAGTGCTTTGCCAACACTTCGCCATCATGGTCCCAAGAGGAGTTCTCCGTCCTCTCTCCTTTTTTAAAAAGCAAATTTGTGTTTTCATTCATCTCAACAGTATCTGTACATTTGAAAAACATTAAAACAGATATGTAAAACATTAGTTTGCAAAATGACAATGCTTTTTTGTTTGCATATGGACACCTTGAAATAGCTAATAACTACCTACATATACACACATACAATCTAGGGGTGCATAGCCCTTTATTAATTGAATTGTGTGACTATAAAATTGTGGTCTGCTGTGGTGTAGAAGGCGTCAGGGAAGAAATGGATGGCCAAGAAAGGTGTGGGAGCAGTCAGGTAATGAGAATGTGAACTGACAGATGGTGCAGCCCACATGCTTGGCTGGTAGGCACTAGATATTAAAAGAAGAAGAGGCGGGCACACAGCATATTGGCAAGGACCTCCATGGAGGGCTTCGGGCCAGGCGTGGCTATGAATCAGGAAGAGGCAGAAGGAAGTTAGGGCTGGCACCATTGGCAAGAGCCAGTTATCACAATTGATCATCAAGCATTTATTAAGCACCTACTGTGTGCTGGGTGTGGTGATACTCTGGAGGGATGGAAGTATTGAAATGTAAGCACAAGATTTTTGAGTTGGAAAGAGACCTCAGAGATTACAGTCCAACCTTTGCTCCCTCTTCATTTCACACATGTGGAAACTGAGACCCTCGAGGTAAAGTGACCTGCCTTAAGGTTCTTGAATAGTAAAGGGGCAGAGAATTTAAACTTGGGTTTTTCTTTGTTTTTCTTTTCTACTCTTTTCTTCTTAATGACCCCATTCATAATATATATCATATATATAACAATATACTATTATAACAGCCCCCTTTATCATAGATATCTTATACATAACAATGTATTATTATAACAGCCCCCTTTATCATATATATATCATATACATAACAATATATTATTATAACAATCCCCTTTATCATATATATCATTTATATAACAATATATTATTATAACAACTCCCTTTATAATATATATTATATATATAACGATATATTATTATAATGACCCCCTTTTCCCGTACAGTTAAGTGCGGCATGGCCCTCACCTGGACTCCTCATCTGCACAGTGAGGAGGCTAGAGCAGGTGACTTTGGAGATCCCCACCCCATCTCCAAGTCCATGGAATGGTGAGAATGTACCAGTACATTGGCTGTGTCTGAAAATGTCTGCCTCATTCTGTCCCTATGCCGAGAGGACGCCTCCACCACGATGCTCCTCTGAGGCCTTGCTCCAAATTCTAGAGTCTTTTCTTTGCAGGGTAGTTCTCATTGGATACATCAGTCTCCTGTCATTCATGTATAGAGCACACTAAATTCAGCTGGATAAACGTGTGGGGCAGGACTTACCTGTTATGAGTGTCCACCCCACCCCAAATTCGGGGAGAGCCTTGTACTCTGTATGTACATATTCCCCTACCTCACCGCCCAAAACACACATGTGTTCTCATATATATACATATTACCTCATGTACACTCCTTCCCAGTATACTTTAGGGCATGTGCTCACTCCTGCACACACTTCCCACATGTGTATATGGACTCACAGACATGCAAATGGAGATGTAGGACACACTTGCTCACATGTGTGTCCTGTCACAATTCCAGATGATGCAGTGGATAGAGTACCGGGCCTGGAGTCAGGAAGACCTGAGTTCAAATCTAGCCTCAGACACTTCCTAGCTTGTGACCCTGGTCAGGTCATTCAACCTCTGTCTGCTCCAGTTTCCCCATCTGTAAAATGGGGATAGTAATAGTACCAAGAATAAAGTGAGATATTTGTAAAGCAGTGGTGTCAAACTCACTGTATGTAAGGAATCCTGCAAGTGTATATTCTCTTAGAAAACCACATATTAACATTATGTTCTGTTGTATTTTTATGCTAAATATTTCCCAATTACATCTTAATTTGCTTTTGGCAGCACTTGGGAGGGTCCCTGGGCAACATGTTTGACACCTCTGCAAACCTCAAAGTGCGCTATAAATGCCAGCTATTGTTATTACACAGACGCGGGCTTATACACAGCTTCTCAGGATCTAGCGATGGGCCCTTGGGTGTACGTTTGCCGAGCTTGTGGCTTCCTCATCAGCCTACTGATTCTTCCCCACAACAAAAAGCTAACTGCTTTAACAATGGAGTCCGCTTAGCTTAATGACTTACAGAATGCTGGGAAGCAGCATGCAGGTGCAGACATCCCAGAGGAGCAGCTCCTCTACTCTCGGTTATGTTGGGTAAGCTAAGAGTTGGGCAGGACTTTGGAGGCACAATCTGGTTGTAAGACTCAACACGCCAGAGGATTACATTTCTCTGAGGCCCCTCGAGGTAAAGTGACCTGCCTTATATATATCATATATGTGTATATATATATATATATATATATACTGTTATAATAGCCCCCTTTATCATATATATCTTATATATAACAATATATTATTATAACAACCCCCTTTATAATATATGTTGTATATATAACAATATATTATTATAATGACCCCCTTATAACAAGTCTGTACAGTTAAGTGTGGCATGGCCCTCCCAGCAGGTGACTTTGGAGATCCTCCCCCCCATCTCCAAGTCCATGGAAGGGCCTATACCCTGCTGTGATATAGGTCAGAGAAGGGAACCTGTTACAGGTATCTTTTCCTCAGGGGCTGGGAACATTCCCTGGGTTTTGTCCCTGGCCCAGCTCGTCTGTTACAGGTTGTCCTAGCCTCCCAGCTAAACCACTTGGACCCAAACAGACCATAGGTACCAAGATTCTCTCTCCAGAAATTGTTCCATGCATTGCTTGCTAGGGATGTCTACCCCCTAGCATCAGTGTGGGTTTGCATGAAGCTAATGTGTAACTATATAGTGACAGCTGGCCTTTGGGCCAGTCACTTCAACTCTCTGACCCTCAGTTTCTTCCCCTGTAAAATAAGTAAAACAAGTGGCTTGAAATGCCAGGGAGTTACATAGGGGACTCGATGACCTCCAAGGGTTCTTTCTAGCTTTGCAATTCTAGAATTAGGCATTCTCGAAGGGCCCTTCCCATTCTGATGGTTTGTGGCCCAAGAGTCCTTCCAGCTCCGAATCCTGTGATAATGCTCTTCTGATCTCTGCCTACGGTGGTGCTGAAAGCCGGCAATACTCTGTTTCAACCACTTGCCTAGGGCCTAAAGGAAATCAGGCATCAGGCCTAGACACGACAAGACAGCTTTAGGCTTTTCTCTCTAGTTGTGTTTTGGTTCCCGTGGGATAGCTGGGCTAGGGCTGGAGCTCCAAGTGTACGTGCCAGAGGCAAACACTAGGCTTCTCTGAGCTGGTTATGGGCAGGAATGTGCATGGGGCACCGTGGGTGGGAGCAGTGCACATTATGTGGTGGGAATGGGTTTCTGGTGGCCCAGGGAGTTTTGACAATGACTCAAAGGTTGGTTTTTCCGTGGTTGAGGTCACTGGTGAGTAGCAGTTACTTCAAGTTTGCCATCTAGTGGCCATTGCCAGAGCAAATAGCTTGGGGAGGGGGTGATAAAAATAAAATAATGCGTTTCTAGAAATGAGAATAGTTTTAAAAGTACAGCTTATAGGTCTACAGATATTGGCACTTCAGGAGAACCCCTGTGTTACTGCCGAGGATGAAGGCTAAGGCCAAGATGCCCGTCAGACACTTTCTGTATCATACTGTGAAAGGATCCTTACGTCGTGGAACAAGAACAGAAAGGGGCCTCTGAGGTCATCTCCTGCACCCCCCCTCAACTTACACAAGAGGAAAGTGGGGCCCAGAGCAGGGAGTATGACTTCTCCAAGGTAACTCAGACAGTAAGTGGCCCAAGCAGGACTCAAGGCTCCACTCCTAACTCCTAACTGTAGCACTGTAATTAGCTCTCCTCAATCTGCCACTTACCAGCTGTGTGACTTGGGGCAAGGCACTTCACATCTCTGTTTCTCAGTTTCCTCATCTGTAAAATGGGGATAATTGTGCATTTTCTGCCTTCCTGTTGTGAATAAGTAACTATGTAGGCCTTAAAATCCTATAGAAATGTGAGCTACTTTTACATATTTGGGAGTCATTAGCATCCTTTCCTGTGTCTTCCAGGAGCTGGCCCCTTCACTCATCCACCCCTCTCCTAAACCTTCAATTTCTCCCTGTCTCCTGGTTGCTTCCCTGCTGCCTATAAATCTGCTTGGCTCCCTGCCTTATTTACCAAGCTTTCCCTCAAGTTATTGTTCGAGATGTCTCCTCCCTTTCGTAACCAAACTCCTAGGAAAAAAAATTGTTTTTACTTGTTACCTTCCTCACCTCCCATTCCTCAAACCCTTGAAATCTAGCTCCCAGACTCTCCACTCAGATGAAGCTACCCTCAGCCTTTTTGTGGACCTCCTCCTTCTTGCTCCTTCTGCAGCTTTGGCACCATGGAGCACTGCTTCTTTCTTGATGCTGTCCATGCAGGTGACTGCCAGGTGTACATAGCCAGCCTCCATCTCCCTCCTGGCCTCCATCCCTGCATCTCTGGCTATCTGCTTGGTTCTCCCACTGTATGTCCCGTAGGCATCTCTCCTTACCAGTTCTTCTTCCATGTGGTTGCCAACTTGAGATTCCAGCAGCATGAGGTTAACCATGCCACTCCCCTGCTCAAGAAGTGGCTTGAGGAGAAAATACAAACTCTTCTCCCTGGCATTTCAAGCCACTTACAATCTGGCACTAACCTGTCTTTCCAGTCACCCTAAAACTGGCTTGCTTGTTGTTCCCCATTTCCCACCTCTGTGACTTTGCCCAGGTTGTTCCCTGTTCCTGAAATGTTCCCCTTCCTCACCTTCACCTTTTGGAATCTCTTGCTCCCTCCTTATCATGCCAGGTGATCTTCAGAATCTTCCTGACAATTTAAGTGGAAGCCATTCCACTTCCTGGCATGGCGCTGGTAGGCTGTCCAGGTTTCACAGGCATACAACAATGAGGTTGGCACAATGGCTCTGTAGATATTCAGTTTGGTAGTCAGTCTAAAACCTTTTCTCTCCCACACTTTCCTTTGAAGCCTCCCAAACGCTGAGCTAGCTCTGGTAATGTGTGTGTCAACTGCACCTGGCAGGATAAGGTACTGGACACTGAGGTCCTTTCTCCAGCTGAACTGCCGAGCATTCATCGTGTACCGCAGAGAGCGTAACTCTGATGGGCTGGTCACTTTGTTAGAATGCCAAACATACACTTGTCTAGAAGACTATTTTACAGAGAACTCACACAAGACAAGTGTCTCACATGGTGGTGAGAAATGATACAAAGACACTCTCAGGGTCTCTCTGAAGAACTTTGCATCGATTGCGAGACATGGGAGACACTGCATAGGAGCGCCCAGCGTGGCGTGCCACTGGGGCAAAGCAGAATCACAATAGCACAGAAGAAACATGAGTTGCACAGATCCAGAGACATCTCCGTTGCAAATGTTCTGACAGACCGCTTGTGCCCGACCTATGGTGGAACCTTCTGATCAGCCCTAGCTGGACATACTGACCCCAATGTCGCCATGTTATTGGGCCTCTTAGAAAATGAAGGGGAAACGGCACCAACGACACTCCAAAATTTGCTTATCAATATACATGTTGTTATTCCCCTAATAGAATGTAAACTCCTTGAGGGCAAGAACTATTTCATTTGGGGCATGTAAATGTAATTGTGCTGGTAGGGAATGAGATTTGAACTCCGTCTGTCGTGTGGGCAGGTGCTTTATAATAGGGATTTACTGAGTATTTCTTTGTTCCCAACAGTCCCTTGGAGGTTCTTTGAAAAGAAGGGCCCAGAGAAAGAGGGGATCTTGTCACCAAGAGCAGGGAGCATCCTGAGTCTTTAGATGGACCTAGAGCCCTGTCTCCATTCTGCAGGTTGTAGAATGTCAGATCCAGAAAGGGCCTAAGAACTAGATGACCCTAGAGGTCATGTTGTCCAACCCTCTCATTTTACAGATCAGGAAACTTGCCCTACATCAAAGTCTGTGGCAGAGCCAGGGCTAGAGCCATCACAGGACTCCCTGTGCCACATAGCCGCTTTTTAGTGCCAGCTAAATCAGCCCCATTTGGAGGAGATGTCCAGGGAGGCCTGCAGCTAAAGGGGAAGTGGGCCCATGCTGGAGCCTCAGAGGCTCCCTAAAGTGCTGAGGAGCTTCTAGTACTGGTGTGATGCTGATGTGCCATGTGACCTTGCGCAAAGAAACTCCCTTCCCTCCTTAAGGCTCTGTAGGATTCCAGATGCTGGCCTAGACAGTGAGTACCTGAGGTGTTTTCATTGCTGTAATTCTAGAGATTCTCAAGTGTACCTGGTTGATTGTCAAATGAGTCCCAGGAAGGATATTGGGTGCTTAGTGAAAAAGCCAACAGGCAGCTAGCTGCAAGCAGGGACTGCAGTTGCATCATAGATGATAGTTTGTGAGTTAGAAGAGACCTTAGGGGTCACCTAGTGTATCCCCCACAATTTTACAGAAGAAGAAACTGAAGCCCAGAGAGGGCAGGTGACTTGCCCAAGGTAACACAGCTGGGGTTTGAACCTAGGTCTCCTTACTCTCTGGTACCAGAGTCAGTAGTGCCTCACTGCCTGCCTAAGGTGGTTCCTGCTGCTTGAAGCTTTGGGAACGGTAAGGTCAAAGGCCATGGAACCTTCCATCTAATCCGTAGAATGATACCTCTTGAGGTATCTGGGGACGTCCAGCCAGGATCTAAGCAGGCACATGACCACATGCAGTTTGTGACATGGGAGGCATCTGTATAAAGACTGGGCAGAACTGGGTGAGAGGCCATCAGCTAGCAGGGGCCACGTCACCACTCTGGGGCAGACTCTTCTTCTCTCAGATGAGAACTTCTTTACCTTTCTCAGAGTCATGTTTTTAAATAACTGAAGGAAATGCTCAATTTCAGCTGGAGGTTGGGGAAAATGAAGTTGTAAATTTTTCCTCATCCAATTTCATGAACCCCTCAAAATCTATCCACAGATCCCCCCAAGGGCTCTGTGGACCCCAGGTTATGAACCCCTCGAAATCCATTCACAGACGCCCCAAGGGCTCTGTGGACCCCAGGTTATGAACTCCTCGAAATCCATTCACAGACCCCCCCCAAGGGCTCTGTAGACCCCAGGTCATGAACCCCTTGACTAGATGATCTCAAAGGTCCTTTGCCACTCTAAATCCTGTGCTCCTCGGCTCCGCAGTGTCCCTGCAGGATATCAACATGAGGAAGGCTTTCCGGAGCTCCACAATCCAGAATCAGCAGGTGGTATCACGTAACTCCATCCCCAACCCTGTGATGGAGATGTACCAGCGGTGTGACAAGCCCCCGCCACTCAACATCCTCACGGCCTACAGGTAGGAGGGAGGGTAGGGCCCCTGGTGACCAGGATAGGTCTGGAGAGTGAGAGCAAGTGGAGCCCGAGTCAGGATCCTGTTCTATCTGCTGGGGCTTTGGGTTTGGTCAGGAGTGCTGGCCTGAGAGTTGGGGCACCTGACCGAGCCCTTGCTGAGTTCTTTCCTAGCTGTGTAACCTGGGGCAACTCACTGCATCTCTTATAGCTTCAGTTTCCTCATCTGATCATGGACAAAATCATAGCCTTCCTGCCGTACAGGGCCGTGGGGAGCAAGATGCTCACTGGCCTTTTTTTCCCCACTTATTAAAAATATGTGAACTGCTGCCATGAAAGAGGTTGTCTGTGGCTCCATGTTGAGCTGACATCTCACCTGGGTAGTGAGTGACCTTTGCCTGCCCAGGCCTCATCACCTTGACCGGTGGGGTCAAGCATTCCTTCACACTCGAGGCCTGTCCTCCTCACTTCTTGGCTCAGAGCTAGGGGCATGTAAGCGTGAGTACTAAGATCCCCTCCACACCAGAGAACACCCATCAGTTAACAGTCGTGGCTGGTGATAATAAAGAAGAGCTGGCAATGATTTAGAGTTTTTATGATTATAGGGTTTATGTTACGAGCTTCGTATCTCCCTCAGTGCCTCTGCACACAGTAGGCACCAAATACATCTTCACAACAACTCTGAATTATGATCCCTGTTTTACGGATGAAAAAACTGAGACCCAGAGAAGTGAATGACTTGCCTTAGGTCACACAGCTAGTAGGTGGGAAAATGAGGCTTCCACTCAGATCTCCTGACTCCAAGTTCAGTGTTTTTTTCTCCCACACTACCACTACCTCAACAGACTTCCCTGGGAAGCACACAGCCTCCTTGCTGATGCCAAGTAATACCCATCTTTCAGGAATGTGCTTTTGTAGGGTGGGTTGTTTGGGTGTTTGTTGAGAAGTGTCTGTTTGGTTAAAACAAGGGTTTCATCCACTGCCTGGCAGTCAGGAGACCTAGTGTTAAATATTTTCTGAGCCTTCTAAATCTAACCTCTCATCATTCCAACAAGAGAGGGCGTTTCCTATCCTTGGGGGATGTCCCTGGACGGCAGCAAGCTCAAATTTAACTGGGCCTCAGGGCTTTCTGATCTGGGTTCAAATCACAGCTAACTGTGTGACCTTAAACAAGTCTCTTACCCTTTCTAGGCCTCATTTTGCTCTTCTGTAAAATACGGGGGGCAGATTAGATGCCAGCTGTTGATGAGCTCACTAACATGCCCTTTTGGGTCCATTTCAGAGATGACAAGAAAGATGGCCTTAAATTCTATACTGACCCATCATATTTCTTCAACTTGTGGAAAGAGAAAATGCTTCAGGCCACTGAGGATAAGAGGAAGGAGAAACGAAGGCAGAAGGTACATGGGTGGGGCCGGAAAGAGAATTAGACATGAGAGGAGCTCCCTATCTCTCATGGTGCCATAGAGTCAGAAGTCCTCTTGGCTTGGGCCCTTGTTGTGTGACCTTGAATAAGTCACTTCTTTCTGAGCTACAGTGTCCTCATCTGTAAAATGAGGGAGGCGCATTAGATGACCTCTTAGGTCCCTTATTATCTGCGATTGTGTGTGCTTGTGTGTGCTCATGTGTGTATGCTTGTATTTGTGTGCTCATGTGTGTATGTGTGTGTTCATGTGTGTGTGTATGTGTGTGTGTGTGTGTGTGTGTGTGTGTGTTTGGTTTCCCATGTTTTAGGAAGAACCTTGACAAGAGGTGGCAGGACCAGGATGATGAAGGGACTGGAAGCCATGCTATGTGAGAATCAGTATTTAGTTTAGAAAAGGGAAGGCTTTGTGGGGGGCCATGGTAGCAGTCTCCAAGTATTTGAAGAGTTGTCCTGTGGAAGAGGGATTAACCTTTTCTTTGTTTGGTCCCAGAGAACTAGGAACTATGTGGAGAAGTTGCCAAGAGATTCTGGTTCAAATCTAAACTCTGTTGGGGGAATTGCAGGTCGGGGTGTCCTTTACAGGTGAGGGTCAGGGCCCATCCAGTCCTGAGATTCCTCAGAGTGGCCTTCATTGCTCAGGAAGCACCTTTTCCTCAGAATCCATAGATGCATAGCTCAACTACCCAATTTGGAAGGCTGCAGACTTGGGCTTCAGTGACATCAGCATTTGTCCCTTCTGTCTGCCCCCCCCCCCAACCCCTCTTGACCCTCCTTGGACTCCCAGGACCCACCTGGCTTTTCTGTCAATCCTAGGCTTGACTAAGGAAGGGAAGTACCCTGTTGTCCTCTGCCCCGATCAGCCTACATATAAAATATTGTGTTCAGTTCTGGAGGCCACATTTTAAGGACTTTGATAAGCTGGAGGACAACCAGGTTGGGGAAGGACTTTGGGAGCCCACCACATGAAGATCACTTGAAGAGATTGCAAAACAGAAGACGTGATAGCTGTTTTCAAGTATTTGAAGGGTAAATGACTAAGAATACGACGTGACCCAATGACAAGGAGCTGACGTTTTAATTCCATTTCAATGAATTCCCTTTGTGAATCAGTTTCGCAAGTCTCTTTTGTTGGCTCTATCTTCCACCCCCTAACCGTGGGTGTTCTTTTCTCTCTCTATACTATCTACCCATGTGATTTCATCAGCTTCCTTAGGATCATGTATCATCTCTACATAGATGACTTCAAAATCCAAAGCATTTTATAAGCCTTTCATGTAATGTCAGGGATTGTTAACCCTGATCTGTCCCCCTGTTACCTCTATCAAAATCAAGACGTTGAAAACAAAACTCATTGTCTTCCCCTTAAAACCTGCTCCCTCCCCCACACTTGCCCATTTCCATAAAGGTATGACCACTAATTCCTGTTCTACCTCCACACCATCCTTTCTGCCTGCCCACATGGATTCCTCATCACCTCATTCCTGGAGCATCGTAATGGTATCCTTGTCTCTAGTCTCTCCCTTTTCCCATCCTTCTTCCATACACCTGGCAAAATAATCTTCCTAAAGCACAAATTCCTTGCTCAAAAATCTTTAGTGGTTCCCTGTGCCTCTAGGATAAAGTAACTTGTCAGCCTGGCATTGCCTTCTCACCCTAGCCCATAATATCTAACTAGCCCCAGACTGGCCCATTCTTCATTCGAGTCCCATCCAGTCATCCATCCAGCCGTCTTGCAATCTGCCCCCAATCCTAACACCACCCACCATCCCAGTCTCCCACTGTCAGCCTCCTCAAGTAGAGTAGTCAAATCAATATCTGTCTGTATGTAATAAGAATAACAAATAAAATGAGACAATTCATACAGCAACTCGGTCTAAGGAAAATGATTGCTCACTTCTTAAATGCATCAGACCAATACCACTATTGCTTCTGGAAAGGATATCTTCTTAATTGGCTGCCCAACAGATGACCTCACCATCCTTGTTGACTTAGACCAAAATTCCCTTCCTTGGCTACCACTCCCCTCCATGTTTTGTCTTCCCTGTTAGAATATCAGCTCCTTGTGAGCAAGGGCCATCTCACCTTTGTGTTTGTATTCCTAGCACTGAGCACATTCCCTGGCACAGAGAATTTAAAGTCCTTCCCATGCTAGCTCCAATCAAACTTTCAAGGCTTATTTTCTATTACTGTCCTGTATTCATTGTACACTCTAGCCAGCCTGGCCTGGTAGCTGTTCCTTGAACCCAGCCTCTCATCTACCTTCACCATGCCTCTGAACGGACTGCCCTGCCTGAAATGTAAACCTTGCCTCTTAGAATCGTTAGTTTCCTTCAAGGATAGAGTGCCAGGCCTGGAGTCAAGAAGACCTGAGTTCAAATCTGGCCACAGGCACATCTTTAGCTGTGTGACCCTAGGCAAGTCACTTAACCTCGGTTTGCCTCGATTTCCTTGACTGTAAAATGGGGAGAATAGAAGCACCTACCTCGCAGCGTTGTTGTGAGGAACCAATGAAATAATATTTGTAAAAAGAGCTTACCGCAGTGCCTGGCACATAAGCACTATGTAAATGCTAATTATTATTGTTATTATTATTAAAGGTTCGGTTTATTTGACCCTCCTACAAGAAGCCTTTCCTGACCACCACCACCCCCCACTTGTTAACACTCACTCTCTCCTTGAGGTATATTGTTTATACTTATCTCTTTGTGGTTTCCCTGGAGGGCAGGAGCCTCTGGGCTTTGTCTGTGTATTCCCAATGCCTAGTGCTGTGCTCAGTACGCTGTAAAAATGGAATAAATGCTTGGTAAATTTATACTACACTGACTGTATCATTTGCTCTGAGCACCCCCACTATCTGTCCTTCAATCCCTCTCTTCCCCTTTGTAGCTAAACTCCTCGAGGACGCTGTCTCTAATAGGTGGAGGGATAGAGGCTTGGAGGGAGCCCCACATGTGTAGGGAGGCCTCCGTGGATGGTGAAATCAAAGGGAGGCAGAATAGACATCCATAGCCTCTTTTCTTGCCATCTTTCTCCAAGGGAGACTTTCATTCCTGCCAGGAGGGGAAGCAGGAAGTTGGGGCCAGAGGCCGCCATTCTACTCTCCTCAGAGAGAAGGGGTACTGACTAGAAGTCTATCTGCTCCCCTTGATTTAGTGTTAGTCTTGGGGATATGATCAGGTTCAGCTGACTTTTGATCACTTTGTCATTTGTGGGGGGAAGGTCTACATCCGGGGCTTAGCCCTTTCCCTCCTAATACCAGTTCCACAATGAACACCACAGCAAATGGCAAAGAAACCCCTTTATCCAAATCATAGCAAAACAGAAATATGAGAAGGTACATGCACAGGAGAATATATACCAGACAGCACAGTGAAGGAGCTCTCCCGTTGGAAGTGAGATAACTCAGCTTAACCAAGAGAGAGGCTCTTGGAGCTCAGCCAGGGGGAAACTCCCCACTCCTCTAGAGTAGCAAGCTGGGATTAGGGACATGATGGAGACTGCCCACCCCTCTCATGTCTTCCTAAAGTCTTTTCCTTCAGCAAGGGTTGAAGTGGGATTGGCCTCTTCCATCTTCTTTCTCCAGGTTAGAAGCCAGGAGCTCCTGAATGATGAGTCCCCAAAGGGGAACTTAGCAAAGGCTAGAGCTCTCTCTGCTCTCCCTAACTCACCCCACCCCTTACACAAGGCAGGGCCTTCATCTCCCCCAATAAGAGGAGAGTCCCATAGCAGTGGGCTTTGGGACGGGCTTACGTAGGTGCTTCTACTTTCTCTCCTCTCTCTTCCTTCTAAACCCTGGGCAATCTGGCTTCCGATCTCATTTAACTGAAAACTACTCTCTCCAAAGTTTCCAATGACTGCCAAATCACCTAGCCTCACAGCCTTTGTGCCCTCTCTGCAGCCTTTGACCCTTGGCGAAGATGACCTCCTATGGATACTAGAACACTGCTATCTCCTGGTTCTCCTCCTATCTGTCCAACTGCCCCTTCTTTCTCAGTCTTTGCTGGCTCTTCAGGTCACACCCACTGAGAGTGGGGGTCCCCCAGGCTCTGTCTTGGCCCCCTTCTCTTCTCTCTCTCTGCATTCTTACTTGGTGATCTCGGCTCCCATGGGTTCAGTGATCGTGTCTCTGCAGATGATCTCGTATCTCTTGATGCAGTCCTAATTGCCATTCTCACACACTTAACACAGCTCAGATCCTGACTTGGGAAGGTCTGAGGCCAAATCTAGGCCTCACCACTGAAAGGAGAACTTTTGTTTTAATCAGAAGAATGACCTGACAGGACTCATAGACATTGAAATGGGCTGTGGAGGAAAGTCATAGCACCTTTTAAATTAGCTAACTTCTTATCAAGTCAACAAGCATTTATTAGGCACTGATTGTGTGCTAGGCACTATGCTAAGCTCTAGAGATTTTTCTTCTTTCCTTGTAGAAAGGCAAAAGCAATCCCTACCCTCAAGGGGTAGATCACATGCAAACAACTCTGGACAAAGAAGATATGGACAAGATAAATTGGAGGTAGTCGCAGAGGGAAGGCTAAATGCCTTCAGAGGGTCAGGAAAGGCTTCTTGTAGAAGGTGGGATTTTAGCTGAGACTTGAAGGAAGCCAGAGAAAGGAGGAGGGAGAGAGTTCCAGGCGTAGGGGGACAGCCAGAGAAAATGTTCAGAAAATGGCAGAAGATGGAATGTCCTGTGCAAGGAAGAGCCGGGAGGCCAGTGTCACTGGATCACAGGGTATGTGGGGTCAGGGGTCAGGTAGGAGGAGGAAGGTAGAAGAACACTGGAAAGATAAGCCTTTAAAAAGCCAAACAGGATTTTATATTTGATCCTAGAAGTGATAGGGGGCCACTGGACTTCATTGAGGAGAAGGGGGTGAGGTGGTCAGACGTTGCTTTAAGAAGATAATTTTGATGCCTGAGTGGGGGCTGGAGTGGATGGGAAGAGCTGAGGCAGGGAGACCAAGCAGCAGGTTATTTTGATAGTCCAGGTGAGGAGGGCGGGAGCTAGGGTGGAAGCAGTGTCATAGAAGAGAAGGGGAGTGGATAGGAGAGATGGTGAGAGGATAGACTCAACAGACCTTGGCAACAGCTTGGCTCTAGGGATATGGGGGTGACAAGGGAGAGGGAGGCACAGCCTTGGAGTCAGGAGGACCTGAGTTCAAATCCGGCCTCAGACACTTGGCACTTACTAGCTGTGTGACCCTGGGCAAGTCATTTAACCCTGATTGCCTCACCAAAAAAAAAAGCAAAAAAGAGAGAGAGAGGCAGCAAGGGTGATGCTTGGGCCATGAGCCTGTCACTGGGAAGATGATGGCACCACTGGTGGACAGGAATAGGGAATAGAATTATCAATCTGGTTGGGTTCAATGAAGCAAACCCTGGGTGCCAGGCACACAATGCTAGACACCACTTAGGCCCGTTGGGGAACGGCCAAGCACAGAAGTTACCGTGATCCAAACGAGAGTCAGGCAAAGTGCTCCAAGAAATCTGAGGAGGAAGGCATTCACCTAGGCCATCAGAGATGGCCTTGTAGAGGGAGGATAGCATCCGAGTGAATTCTCAAAAGAAAGGAAAGACTTCAGTGGGGGGCTCTATCCCAAGATGGAGGATGCCATGAGCAAAGGCACAGAGGTGGGAGAGGGCAAAATAAGGTCAGGAGTCAGCAGTCTTGTTTGGCTGGAACATCGTGGACATGAAGGGGAATAGTTTGGAGCCTCATTGTCAAGGACCTTGAATACCAGGATCAGGAGATTGTACTTAATCATGTAGGCAACAGGGAGCCACTGAAGGTCTTTGAGCTTGGGAATTACAGGATCTGATCCATAGGAATAGTTATCCAGATCCACTGGAGAGAGGAGCCTGGAGGCAAGAACACCAATTGGAAGGCTCTTATAACATGGACAGTTCTTCCTGTTGTGCTGCCTGGGGCTGTGGGATAGTCTAGTGGACTCTTCCTTCAGGTTCCTTCCTGGCCTAGTGTTTACTTTGACAGCCTGCTGGCTTCGAGAGGAAAGCTTTGGTATCGTGGCTAGGTGACTGTCATTCATATATATTGGAGGGCCTCAACCTCCCTATAGAGGTTACTGTAAAGAAACAGGACTGGGTTAGGTTTTTGCTGACCAACGTGGGGAGATTGAGGCATGTTTGTGTTGATCCCCAGGAACAGCGACTGGTGGAGGACTCCACCAGGGAGGTGAAGAAAGTGCGAAAGGCACGGAATCGGCGGATGGAGTGGAGCATGATGGCATATGACAAAGAGTTCCGGCCCGATAACAGGTTCTCGCCATCTCCATATCACATGGCCTCCTCAGAAGGCTCGCTCTCTCCAGATAATAGGCAGGTGTTACCTATTATTACCTTCTCAGCCCTTGGTTTCCTCCTTTTCTATTGGCAAAAAGTATACTCTGTGTGATGCTACTGCACAGAAGGTGGACACCTTTCTCAAACAATCCCTTCTCCCCCTGCCAGCAAAAGATCCCAAGATCTCATCTATCTTTCCCCAGGCATAAGGCATTCATCCTCTTTTTAAAAAATGTTGTAAAAAAAGAATTCATAACGCACTTCAAAACCAATGAAACATATAACTCCTTACGCTGAAAAACCAAAATTCTGGTACACTACGGACAAATCAGCGCCCATGTGCCTTGCTGTTCTCTGTTCATTTGGGTAAAAGTCCAAATGTGTTGCTTCATGAGATTCTTTCCACATTTCAGTATATCATTTGCATTGGAATATTCCATTACATTGCTATCCCATTCAGTCATTCACCTAAAATTTGGGCTTTCAGGCTATTTCCTGTTCTCTGAATTGCGCGTAAATGCTGCTGTTTATTTTAACATCTTTTTTCCCCTTTATGATAACACCCAAGAGGCAGTTTGGTACAGTGGCTAGAAAGCTGGCCTTAGAGGAGGAGGAGCTGGGGTTCAGAGCCCCAAGCTGGATGGATGTGAGAAAGTCACGTGACCTCTTACCGCCCCAAGCCAACGCTCTAAGACTCTAAGTGACGTGCCAGGGGATGGCATCCTCACCCTGATGAAATCCCACTTGCAGCCTCTCTTCCCTCTAAAAATGATCACACTCCAAGCAGATTCCCAGTGACGAGATGATTAGGCTAGAGGGTACGGTTATCTTTGTGACTCTCATTGCATACAAGCAGATGCCCTCCCAATAAAATCCTACTCATTTTAATTCCACCAGCAATATGTGAGGATATTAGCCGCCTTTTTAAACTTCCAGGGGTTGAAAATGGCTCAGTCTCCAGGAATCTCTGCAGCCCTATTGAGGGGGTTGGGATTTATGGCAGGGAAGGGCCCTTGCTCTTTGGAGGCGCTGACAAAGCAGAAGGTAGTTATTGTCCATCGTTTTGTCTGTACCCCTCTCCTGATGCATACTCCTATGCTCTCCAGCCCCATCTTTTTTATGGCCAAGCCAAATGCAAGTGAAGCCAAATTAGAACTTCCTAGGTGATCTCTAAGGACACTATGACAGTAATAATGATAATAATACCTTGAGAGGCTGTGTGGTTAATGGCCATTTCCTTCTTTGGAAAAGGCGATTTGGAGGGTCCCTTTCAGCTGGCAGTCCTGTGACATGTGGTCCCATGGCTCCCTCTTTGGCACCTCCCTTGCCCATGCTGTTGCTAGCCATCCCATCCTTGACTCTCTTTCCTATCTGCCCCTGGCTCCCATGCTTCAGACTGGGATGTGACCATTGCTCTCTATGTTTGCTCTAGGTCTTACGCATCTGACATCGGTGATCACTCCTACCCAGCCAGCCCCAACCATCCAGCCCAGCAGGTGTTGGCACCCACTCCTCATCTGCCCATGGAACACAAGGAAATCATCCTGGCCCCCAGCCAGCTCCCGGAGCTGACCTACCGGCCCACAGCGCCAGGCAGTCGGCAGAACAGCCTTGGCAGAGTTCAACAGCCTCATGTGCTGCAGCCTCCAGACCCAATACTGAATGGACCCAGGCCTCAGCTGATCAAGGACTATGGGTAGGCTGTCATGCTCTATACCTCCTACCCCGCCTTGCTCTGGTTTGGCTACAGGGACCTGGCACCAGGGAGGTCAGTGACCCAAGGGCTCATCACACTAACCCCATGGCAGGTTGCCAGGTAGCTCCCATTCCTGAAGAGATAGCACCTAGAGGTGAGCTCGGCTCCTTGGCGATTCAGAATCTCATCTCTCCCCATTGCTCATTCTACACTGGGGCCTAACCTGAGCCATCCACCCACACGTGCCCCAGCAGCACGCAGAGGAAGGGTGGCCGGGGCTAGTCTGGAGTGCCTCACTGTCTCCTCCTCCTCCAGCTGCTGAAACGGAATTCTTCACTAGAATTACTGCTGCTCCTCTGGCCCAAGCTGGCTTCCAGCCACACACACTGGTACCTTACCTACTTCTGGTACCCTTGGTACCCCCAATAGAGTTGCAGTCAACCACTTTCTTGCTCAACACCCTCACACTAGCAACAGGTGGGAAGAAAAGCTTCCATACAAGCAGCGCCTGTTTCCCTCTCCCTCTTCCACCCCAGCCCCATCCTGATAGCCTGTGAAGTAGGCAGGTCGATTATTGTTATACCCATCTGACAGATCTCTAAGGTCCCTCCAAACTTAAAGGCTATAAACCTGTGAGGCCCCGAAAGGTAGGGTTCTTGTCCAAGGTCAAAGAGCTAGTGAGAATCAGAGCAAGCAATGGAAAAGAGTTCTGATTCCCAGCCCTGTGTTCTGCCTGGACTATATGCAGCTGACTCCTGAGAGATCTTGGACAAGTCACTACCTTGCTGTGCATATCAGCACTTCTGTTTAGAAACTAATGATGGTTCTTTTCACCTTTGCTCTGATATTCACTTGATATTTGCTCTGATATTCATGTATGACTCTCAGAAGTCATTTAACCTATCTGAGCCTCAGTTTCCTCGCCTGTAGATTGGTGCTAGCAATCTTTGCAGGCTATGCCTGCCTTACAGGGTTGTTATAAGGAGGGAACTTTGGAAATTTTCAGATACTATAGAAATGGCAGGTGTTGCCATGTTTATTTTGCTCAAACCAAAATTCCTTTCAGTTCAGCCCCATTCCTCTTGGGCCCCCTGCCTTCAAGGCTAATGCTCAGTTATGTAGCAGAGGAAAGCTGGAAAACCTTGTCTGGGGCCTCCTTTGTTACCATGATCCCCAAGAAAGATCAAATGCTCCAGTCCTTTGTCAGTGCCCAAAGAATATTCACGTTATTTGGGACTATGGACAACATGCTGGTCTCTAGCTTCAGGGAACCTTACTGGCCCGTGTCTTCCAGGCCCAGTTCAAAGGGAGAGAGGTAGGCCACCACATTGATAGTAAATGAGCTGCCACTGGAAGGGGCCCTTGCTTGGCTCAGCGAGGGACCACGGCAGCTCAGAGTCTGGTTCATGGTAACACCAAGAGTCCAGTGACAGAGGGAATTTGTTCACCTCCAAGTTTCACCAAGCAACTACATACAGACAGTACTGTGGACCTCAAAGAGAAATAGAGAATGGCAGCCCTACCTCTGACTCCCCAGCTCTACGAAAGGTCTGTTTATGGTCTGGGGAGAAGGCCCCGTGTAGCCTAAGGCCTCTTGAGACCTGTTTGCTTGTATAAAACCTGTTGTTTTTAGGGTATGTATAGGTATGTGTGTACATATCATGTTTTCTATAATATTACACGTACTCTTTTTCCCCCTCTTTCAAAAGAATCTCATTTTAGGGCATGGTCTGTATTTGGGCAATTATAGTCATATTTTGGGTCTAGACCAACAATGTTATTGGTGTAGGGAACTTTCAGTATGGAAACTCCCTCCACCATTACAGCGCCACTCCCCAGATCACCCCCTTGTCTGTGACTTATGGCTTCTGAGAGGACGTGAGCCCAGGCCCCCTGACCCAAAGGCCAGGGTCCTCGTACCCCGCCACACTGAGTAATTCCTAGGACTCCAGGAACTTCTTTTGCTGTTTCTGTTTTGAAACCTGGATTCCCTTCCAGCACCTTGTCATCCTGCTTCACAAAGAGCAGCTGAGCAGGATGTTTTGGGGTAAAGTTGTAATTTAGGATTACACCCAACACATTCCTGGGTGCTGGGTACAGAATCAAGGGGCCTGTATTTTTTTTTTAGGCAATTGGGGTTAAGTGACTTGCCCAGGGTCAAACAGCTAGTAAGTGCCAAGTGTTTGGTCTGAGGCTGGATTTGAACTCAGGTCCTCCTGATTTCAGGGCCGGTGCTCTATCCACTGCACCACCTAGCTGCCCCAAGGGGCTTGTATTCAAATCCTGACTGTGAGGTCTTGGGTAGATCTCGCTTCCTCTCAGCCTCAGATTCCTTATCTGTAAAATGGGGTCAGAAATACACTCGCTCCCTTACAAGGGCACATAGCAGTATTATTAGTGGCAGATCGAGGGCTTCCATCTCTTCCATCCCTGCACTCCTTGGTCACATCATCTTCGCTATTGGCTTGTACCGCCCTCCTCTAGCTCAGCTCATTCTGCTCAAGGCTCCCCTGGAGGGGTGTGGATCTTTCCCAGATCCTCAGTGGTCCTTCCAGAGGTCAGGTGTAATATCAAACAGTGCTGTAAGTGAGCCAAACTCTTTATCTACATGAAAGAACCTCACTGGTTCCTCACAATAACTATTATCATTCCCCTTTTACAGATGGGTATACTAAGGTTTCGAGAGTTTGAGTGACACCCTGGAGGGCACTCCGCTAAGTAAGCTTTGCAGGGGATTGAACCCCAGCTGTCTCTGATTCTAAATCCATTGCTGTAGCCCTACTGTGCTTCCTCTCTAAAGCCGATCCACCATCACCTACAGGGTACAATCTCAGAGGTGCCAGGAGGGCCTGTGTCCCTGTAAATCTTACCTTGCCTGTTGGAAGATATCTGAGATTGAGTTATTCAAGCTTCATCTCTCTAGCTCAAAGCTTTATTCCTTAGTAAAATGTCTGTCTCTCTAAGAGGAGCCATATTTGGTGCTATGGGTCATTTGTATCTTGGGAAAGGATCAGAAATTCCCTCCTACTGACCTCTCTGGGAAGAAGTTTGCTCTTTTGTAAAACGAGAGGGTCCGATGAACTCAGACATTCAGTGATTCTCTGATGGTGCGGAGGGGGATGGGCACAGGGGCTCCTGGAGGGGAGGATGAGCCCCCACTAACAGAGCAGGCTGGGGCCACTAGGCCAAAGAGCAGCATTACCTAGTTGGCAATTTTGCAGGAATAAAGGCTCTTCCAGGGAGCCTAGTCAGTGTGTTTGGGACCCCTCCTCTCTCCGGGCCTCACTTTCCTCTTCTCTAAGTCAAAGAGGTTGGATTAGATGAGCTGAAAGGTCCCTTCCAGCCTTCAGAGTTTGAATCTGTGAATCCTTGGGGTTTATGGTGCTCCTTAAGGGTCAGGGACTCTGCCCTCTCTCTCCCAGTGGTAAGGAACCTTAGAACGGCTGACTGAACGTCATCTCAGAGACCTTCTCATTGAACCATCAGAAAGGAACCATGACTTGTCTCAGTGAACACGAGTGGTCAAGTACTCGGATTCACACCCAGTTCTGATCTCCTAATCTTCTCTCTCTTCTTCTGCTTCCAGGTCCCAGCCAGTGCCCATGGCCGATTTCTTTGTACCGCCTGCCCCACCACCCCCACCTCCAGTGATCCCCTCGGCCCAGACGGCTTTCGACAGCCCCGTCTCTGCCCCACCTACTCTTGCACCTGCTGCCACTGCCACCCTGGCCCATCCTGCCTATACACCCTCCCCACCCCCAGCCCCACCCTGCCCATACTCTGTATCTCCCCCGCAGACTGGACCCATGGGCCCTCCTGCAGCTCCTCCTCCACCCCCTCCTGGCCCCCCAATGGCCACGGCCTCCCCAGCCCACTCAGCCTCCCCGGGTGCTGTACTATCTGAACCACGGAAACCTCAGATCCCGTTGATACCAATGAGTGATGCCAGAAGTGATCTTCTTGCTGCCATTCGGAGGGGTGAGTACGATGGAGAGAAAGAGGCTGGGCAATCCGGCCATGGAACACTGCAGCCGCCATTCTGGCAGCTGACTATAGTATGGAAAGGGAGATTTCCTAGGGACCTTAGCAGCTAATGAGATGTTTGCCAACATGACCGTTTTGTGGCGTCTCCATTGACCACCATTCCATCCATGTGAGACTTTAATCTGTGATCTTCAAGAGGTGATATGGCCAAAAAATTCATCCCTCTACGGCCAGCTTGGTAACGCACCTCTAACCCTACCAGGCTCTCATGATGCCCTCACTCTAACCCTTTATAACTTGGAAACAATTTTCAAGGACCCGGGGTGGCCTCCATCCCATGGGGAGGAGACATGAGAAGACTCTAGTGGAGTATGGGGAGCGAAAATAGCTTTTGAAGGGTTACGTAGCCCTTGACTCACAAGCACTCTGAGGTCAGTGGTACAGTGGAAAGAGTAGTCACGAGAGACCTGGGTTCAAGCCTGTCTCTGATATTTCTTAGTTATGTGATCACTTAACTTCTCTGAGACTCAGTTTCCTCATCTGTAAAATGGGCGTGCCTTTTGTTCCTACATCACAAACTTGTTATAAGGAGTAAATGAGATCATGTACAGATAATGCAGCTATGGACAGCTAGGTGGCACAGTGGATGGAGTGCTGAGCCTGGAGTCAGGAAGACCTGAGTTCAAATGTGGCCTCGAATGCACACTAGCTCTGTGACCCTGGGCTAGTCACTTAACCTCTGTCTGCCTGAGTTCCCTCATCTGTAAAATGAAGATAACAGAGGATATGAGCAGCATGGCACTTACCTCCCAGGATTGTTGTGAGGATCACATTAGGTAATATATGCCGACCTTACCTAAGACCCTGTATGACTGCAAATTGTTATTGTTGTCGCCTACTTTGTGAACCTTAAGGTGATGGAAATGTAAGTTGTTTAATAGTAATACTAATAGACTTGTGATCTCATCAGTGTGGCAAGCCACTTCCATTGATGCGGATGACAATCCATATTTCCTGGAGCCTTTGGGTTTGCTATCTGAGTGCTAGCCAAGGCTGTACTCCAACCCAGATTGGAGCTTGTAGGATGTGGCCAGGCAGAGCCTTCAAGAATCCACGGTCCCTTCAACACCATGCTGAGGCATCAGAAGAGAGCCTGGGTCATTGAGGCGGGAGATGTTGGTGCTGAGCCCTAAGTGATCTGCCACTGAGCCAGTGACCTCAGATAAAGGGGTTTGGACTCGGCGGTTTCCGAGCTTGGAAGTTCCCTTGTGGGTGACCCCAGCACCTTTGAGAGTTAGCAGGCAGTCCTTTACTCCTTTCTGGAGTCTGTAAGAATCAAGTGGTCGTCATCTGTTGGGAATGATGGGATTCGGGGGAGGTGGTGACGGGTTCGATGTGACCTACAGAAGGTGCTGAGCGCCCATCTTTGCTGTTTCCCTGCAGGCATCCAGCTGCGGAAGGTACAGGAGCAGTGGGAACAGGAGGCCAAGAAGGAGCCTGTGGGCAATGATGTGGCCACCATTCTCTCCCGGCGCATTGCAGTGGAGTACAGCGAGTCAGATGATGACTCCGAGCTGGATGAGAATGAGTGGTCAGACTAAGGGGACGTCGGGCCACGCCGGGCTGGGTCGGGCCACTGAGTGTTCTAGTGCAGCGCCCTCCCTCTACCCTCTTCCCTCCCTCCCCCTCCCCCGTCTACCCTGCCCTGCCCCCACCCTAAGCTCCCTCCCAACAAAGGTTCCCTTCCTGCCCCCCCTCCCCGCCCCTCACCCTACCCCTACCCCTGCCTGGGCTTCTGCTCCAGTATGAGGTAGGCAGCAGTGGGGGTGGGGAGTGGGGGGAGGAGAGCTTTTGAAAAATAGATTTTCATCTCTTTGGGCTGCTTTAGATATGGTTCTATGTGTAGGCAGGGAAATGAATTAGATGGCTGCTTAAGATTCCCTTCAGTTCATGGCTTTTCGAAGAAGGGGGCATCTCAGCTTGGCATGTTTGAGCTAATGGGAGAAGGCATTTTCTCACCCTGGCACCCCATCTCCAGCTCTCCCCACAGTTCTGTAGAAAAACTTCTTGTCCAGTGAGGCCTGTTGGGCCCAGCTGTTTATGGAAACAGCTTCTGCCTGGGACCACAGGGCACTTCTCCAGAGAGTAGCCAGATTAGTTGCCATACAGAGAGGCAGCATGTGTGACATGGTCCTTGTGTCCCGAGCCCGGGCGAGCACACGGGGAGACCTCGGAGGTTGCCAGGGTCCTTTCTGCACAGCCCTGGGAATGAAGAGATGTCCCCAGTCAGGCACCAAGCAGCCATCAGAGAGCATGCACCTTGATTATGCCCAAGGAGGCAGGTGTGGCATAGGGGGAAGGACATTGGGCTGTGGGCGTTCTTCTTATTGCTTATGTATGTCCACAGGTAGTCAGCCTGTTGGAATGGGAAGAGCACTAGACTTGAAAGTGACGGGGACCCATGTTCAAATCCCTGTTCTGATACTTCCTAGTTGGGCAGTCTACTCAAAATTCCTTCCCTTCTTTGGACCTCAGTTTTATCATCTGTAAAATTAGGGGTTTGGATCAGATGACCTGGTCATAAGGTCACTTCTAAGTCAAAGCCTAGGCTTCTGTGGATGGATTCTTTACTTAGTGGGTCATCCTTTGAGGGGGGAGGTGGCTGGGGAAGGGAGAACTGAGTAATTAGATCTGTGATCTCATCTGTGTAGGGAACTCCCAGTGTGTAAATTCTGTCCCCTGAGGCAGAGTAGCACCTCATCTGTAACTTCCCGTTTGAGAGAGTTGCCCAAAGTACTGAGAGTGGCCTGGATGTTGCAGAGACAGGACCTGATATGCCTTGTCCATAAAAAAGGCCAGAGGTAGGAATGCAGAGTGTAATTGGGAAAACAGTCGCTGTGGAGGGTGCCTGCTGCCTGGGCCTCTCTGAGGCCCAGCTTCTCGGGAGACAAAAATGGCTGGAAAAGGGCCATCTGCACAGAAGAGCCCCACCATAAATCATGGCTCCTGATGCATCGCAACAGAAAGGGGGAATAATAGTGGCTATGGGGCCTGCTTCCCATGTAAGGCTGTTGTAGGGGTCAGATGAGAGAGAAAATAGAAATCTGTTGGATATTATGATCATTGTTAGTGATAAAAGCAGCTCGCATTTCTCTAGGGCATTATGGTCACATGTTCATAGCTTCATTTGAGCCCTCCACAGCAGCCCAGCGAAGTGGGTAACAGAAGTTGCCCCTTTTTACAGATGAGGAAACTGAGGCACAGGAAAGTCAAATGACTTGCCAGAGTTCACACAGCTTCTAAGTGGCAGAATTGAAATGAAGTTGGGCCCCCTGATTCCACTGAACCAAACTGACCTTTACTAGAGTCCCTTCTACCCTTTCTCCTCAGTGGGAGCCAAAGGGAGAGTTGGTGTCTCTGAATCTTTCCGAAGCTTGGTTGTGAGTGGCAGACAAGAAATGGTCTGGCCATCCCAGGCTGTGGGAGTGGCTACAGGCTGGCTTTAACAATCCTTGCCCCCTCTATGTAGTAACACTAAGATGTTTTTTAAAGACCCACCCAGAGAATAACCAACAATGCTAATAATAGTGCCACCATCTAATTTGCCAGCCAAGCAGCCAGTGCTCAGGCAAGTGAGACCTTGGGAAAGATAGCAGCCGTCAGTGGGTCTGGGGAGTGTCTCTTGATGGACACCTTAGGGCTGGCTCCTGCCCTCTGGGTGCTGCTGTCTAGTCTCTGTGGTCCAGTACAGCCAGGGAACAGCGGCCCCAGGAAGGAGGGTGGCTGAGAACCCCGCCCTTCTCAGACCTGGCCACTTCAGTTCCAGTCAGCAAGCATCTATTAAGCACCAGCCATGTACCACACGCTGCACTAAGCCCTAAGGAGACAGATAGAAAAGTGAGACAGTCCTTGCTCACAAAGAGCTTCAATTCCATTAGGGGAGGGATATAACAATCACAGATAAGTTAATACAAAGTAATTGGGGAGCAAAGAGAGAGCACTAGCAAATGGGGGGGGGGCAGGAAAGACTTCCTGTAGGCGGCAGCACCTGATCTGAGCCTGGAAGGAAGCTAAGGGTTTGAAAGAGATGGAGGTGAGGAGCGAGGGTGTTCCAGGTATGGAGGGAGCCGTCTATAGAAAGGCACAGAAAGAGGAACGAGGAGGCCAGTCTGGCCCGTCACATTGCCTTCTGGGATCCTCGCTTTAAGAAGGCCGTTGGCCATTCATTGGCCAGCTGAAGCTGTCCTGAGGGGAGCACCAGGAGGGCGGAGGAACCAAGGCTGGTGAGCCTGGAGCAGGGAGGGGAAGTGACAGAGGATAGCAGCTTGTGCCACCTGGAGGCAGAACGGGTGGGACTGGCCTCAGGAAGACGTACCTTCCTTGTTACTAGAGGTGAGACTGAAAGGCTTTCTGCTTAGGTGTGGGTTGGAGGGAATGTGGCACATGGGCAAGATGGGAGATGGAGCCAAGCAAGGTGGGGAGAGTGCTTTTCTAGCTGTCCGTTGTCCCCACCTCCCACACACATTCAGGCTTCCCCAGAGATACCTGGAAAGAGCTTGGGGGAGCCCAGCAGTTTCTCAGCCTCTCCCTCTGGCCTCTGGCCATCCAGGACTAGGATAGGGCTGGGACGCTCTCAGTGGCCCTGTGGGCATAGGCTCGTGGAATGTGGGGCTGGAAGGGCCTCAGAGAGAGGAGGGAACTTGACCAATGTACCACATGTAATAAGTAGCAGAACCACGATGAAGATAGGTCCCCTTGCTCCAAACTGAGTGCTCTGTCTGCTGCACGTGTCTGCCTGAGAGAGGGAGCCAGCCAACAGTCTCCACCTTTGGGCAGCACATGGGCCTCGTCGTATCATGACCGCTCAGTGGCCATGTGCCCAAGTGTGAGTGTGAGATGTTCCCCCAAGAGTGTCAGACTAGTGGATTGGGCTTTTTGGGGACTATGAGGCCAAGATCATCGGAATCAGACCAGGCTAGGTTTGGGGTCGAGTCTTCAGAATGGAAGGGGGCACCAGACCCACCCACCCCCGAAGCCATGATCTCCTTGCTAACATCCCCACAGGGGATGCCAATGTCTGCCCTCCAGTGACAGGGAACTCCATAAGGCAGGTTCCACTTTGGGACAACTCTAATTGTTAGGAAACGTTTCCTTCTGTGGAGTAAGTAGGCGGGGAATGGCAGCATCCAGAAGCCCTGAGTTCAAATTCCATTTCCTAGCTATGGGACCCCGAGGACTCCCCCTCTGGAGCCTCAGTCACCTCCACTGTGAAATGAGGAGGTTAGACTTGATGGTCTCAAAGGCCCTTCCAGCTGGAAATCTCTGCTCCTGTAATGCCCCCTCACTGTCTCCTAGCCTGGCTTGGAGCTTGGGACCTTAACAAGCAGAGTAACCTCTCTACACCTCAGTTTTCTCATTTATCATTTGATGTTTTGACTGGCAGGACCCTTTAGGCCACTGCTATCCCTGCTAGGCCCTGCTAACTCTGAGAGGCTGAGAAAGTGCCCTTCTCGCCCTCCCCAAACCTGCCCCCATCTTTATCTCCTCCCATCATCCCGCAGGCATGTGCTGTGTGGCTCCTAAGCCTGCAGAGTTCTCTCAGAACATGTCCCAGAGTCCCCCAAACCTGCTCTGCTTTGTGCAGACAAGTCTGGCTGCTGGCTGGTCCCCACTACTGCTTGGGCTTAAGCAGGCCCATAGCCATTCCCCAAGCTGGGGTGTTTGGGCTCCTGGGTGCTCAAAGACAACAGAGACTTAGACCCCAGACCTCCAGCCCAGGCTACCACAGTGGCCTGGCCAGCCCCCGAGGACATGGGAGCCCACACTTTGGGAGTAAAGGGGCTTCAGTAGAGGTAGCTGCCCAGCCCCTGAGGCCCCCAATGCCTGATGGCCCAGAAAGGCCGTAGAGGAGCTGCAGTTGACTGTCTCACAGCCTGGGGGCCCTCGGCCCAGGATCAATTGGGAACTTCCAATGAACACCATGGCCAGAGGAAATGGGCAGCTAAAAGAGCCAGGATCCCAGCCTGCCCCACCATGGGACCACAGTCCCCATGTTTTTCTTTTCCCAAACACCCCCAAACAATCTATTTTTGTAAGCTACTTCCTTATCACTTTTAGAAATGAATGTTCAAACAAGAAAAGTTTGTTGCACAGAGAATGGGTAGAGAGAATTAGCTAGGTTTCCAGTTCCTCCTCCCTCCCCCGTGGATGGTTTGACTGAAATGGGCACCCTACAGACCCCAGAGTGTACCTGAATCAAAGGCAATGATGGAGCTGTCTGTCAGGGACCTTAGAGCATAGAACATAAGACTGCCAGAGATGGGAGGAACCTTAGAATGTAGAATATAAAGGATGTAATGGAGCTTAGGATATAGAATGTCAACACTGGAAGTGACTTTAGAACACAGAATGTCAAAGGTCCCATAGGACATGGAGTGTCAAAGCTGGGAAGGACTTTAGAACATAGAATTTCTGAGGGGGAAGGAACCTTAGAACAAATAATGTCAAAGCCAGGAGGGGCCTTCGAACCCAGAAAGTCAGAACTGTGAGAACAAGGCCTCCAGAAATGGGACTGAGGGTCTGGGCCTAAAGCACCAGGAGGAAGATGAAGAGTCTCTGTCTGCTGTCTCTGCTTGGTCAGGACCCTTCCTCTGCTCCCCCAGTGTCTAGCTATCATCCAGACCTCCGGGTACCAGGGCTTGGGCCCAGCCTTCCTTCTGAGCAGCTTGTCAGAGTCCCAGGCTCCCTCCTGCATTTAGCAGTCTAGCAGAAGCTAGGGCTCATCCATTCTCTGAGGCCAGATGCTAACAGATGACTGCTTTGTAGGCCAGCCTCCCACGCCCCCAGGAGCTGAGCCTACCTGCACTGTCCAAGCCAGGAGACTGATGCTGCCAGGACAGAGAGGGCAAAATGGAAGTGTGGCAGTGTCTTGGCCTGCAGAGAAAGGCTTTGGGCATAGGTGGATATGGGCAGCACCATGGAAAGTTAACCACAGGAAAGCTTGGCTTCCCAGTCCCCTGCACTGCTAGTCAGCAGCTCCGTGACCTTGGGTGAGTCACTTCCCGTCATTGGGCTGCAGCTCTTCTGTGCTGTGAATGAATGGGGCTTATCCTCTAATGGCCCTTCTAGCTCTAAAGTCTGCCTCTTCCTCCTACCGCCAGTCCCTTTTGCTACTTTGCATGAGCTTGGCCTCATATTTGTGCTTTATCTTCACGTGGCCTCCTCAGGCTTGCTGGTGGGGAGCAGGAGTGGCACCTCGAAAGATCCAAACTTTCCTATTGGCCACTGTCACGCCTCCTGTTGTGTGAGTTGGGCCTCTCTTGGCTCTGATGCATGTGGAAAAAATGGAGTTCAGGTTAGAGCCAGCCTCTCCATCCCAGGAAGGAAGGAGGTGGCGTTTCCCTGCCGACTGGTGTGGCTCTAGGGGCACTCAGCATCTTGTCAGCTACTAAATTGTTTTTGGACAAGTAGACAGCTACATGTGTATCATTCAGGTTACCCATATTCAAGAAGAACAGCCTTCTGGGACCCCTGTATAAATGAGCAACTGTTCCACTCTCCCCACTCCCCCTCTCCCATCCCTGGTGTGCATGAAAGGAGTCTAAAGTACAGGGAGGGTGGGCATGACCGGCTTCAGGCTGGAGCAGTGGCTCAGAGAAGGATTCCTGGACCCCAGAGCTGGGCCTTGAGGACCAGCCCCGCAAATTTCCCAAGCAGTGACATGAGTGCAGCATCTCTGGTCAGATTGGGCCTTGTGCACCCAGTGAATTTGCCTGCGCATCTGCTTAGGTGGCCCCCTCCCTTGGGCTGGATCCTGATTTCATGGTTTCCGTCTCTCTCCCTGGCACAGGGAATTGAACCATCCACATCTCCTGCCTGTGGACTTTGGCCAAGACCCTTCACCTCCCTGTGGCACATTTTCTTCATCTATAAAATGAGGGTGTGGAACTAGATGATGTCTCTAAATCCCATGATCCTTTGCAAAGCCACCTGATCCATTCAAATTACTTGGGATCTACTGTCTAAAAGGCAGAAAAAAACAACCAATCCAGCTGTTTTTTCACTGGGCCATCTCCATCTCCTAGAATCTTACCGATCCTTCAAGCCGTGTTGTCCAAGAAACTGTCCCCTTCACCCTCGCAACCAACCAGCTAGAAGTGATCTCATAGCACTTGATTCTCATCTATGTACACAGCATATTCTAACTTGTCTTAGTTATCTGTGTTTTGTCTTACCCTTTCCAACTAGAATGTGAGCTCCTTGAAGGCAGGGCACCCACAGCACCCAGCACAAAGGTTTTCACTTAAAAGGTGCTATAAAGGTGAGTGGGAGAAAGGAGACAAGTCTGACTAGGAGTGAGAGAATGTGAGAACATGAAAGGGTCAGGGTTGTTCTGCTGAGAGCAGCCAAGGTTCGTTTCTGAACAGTAACTTGGTATAGAGTGGCAAGAGGGAGAGGGTAGAGTTGAGCATTGGCCTCAGAGCAGTCTAAAGGACTTTAGAAGTCACCTAGTCCTTTCACCCTTTCATGTTACAGTTAAGAAAACTGAGCAGAGCCCAGGGGCACTGTGGGAGTGAGGGACCTATGTTCCCATTTGCCTGGCACTTTCACAGCTTCCTGCTAATCTTATCCTTATCAGGTGCACACTGGGAAGCCCTCTGAGCTCCATTTTTACAGAGGAGGGCTCGGGTCCAGAGTGGAAAGTGCCACAGTAGCCCAAGTTGGCGACAAAGACAGTGGCAGGAATGTAGGGTCCCGGCGCCCTGTTCAGGGGTTCTTTCTGGGCTCCACTGAATGCATCTGATCTTCCCTCCCCCCCCCACACGATCACATCTCTGGATGAATTGGGCCATGGCCATGGCCTGGAGCTGGCAAGTGGTAAAGATCCCCTTGTGACCTGTGGGAGGGTGGCTCCAAAGGCTGTCAGAGCTTTGGAGAGGGAAGTAAGCTTAGCAGCAGTTGGTGAGAAGACATCCTTCAACCCCCGCCCCCATTTCCACTCCGCCAGGCCCTCCACCACCTCCTATCAAAACCAGTCTTTCCTTTCCTGAAAAAAAAAATGCCCTTTCCTTCCGTGGAGACTTTCCAAGCTGGCTTGGCCTACAGGTAGGAAAGAGTGGTGGTACTGTCCCCCTGCAGTTCTATGGAAGCCCTCACTTCTCCCGAATTCCCCCTGCTCTCTCTATGCACCGAGACTGAGAGGACACGCACCTCTCGCCCCTACCAGCCAGACCTGGGCACCGGCACATGGGTGCCTCCTGCCTCGAAGGTTCCACTTTCTGAGAGTGGTGAGTCCAGGCTGGCCTTGGTTTCAGTCGGGGTGGCTGCCTGTCCAGAGAGAACCCTGTGGGCTTCAGACTTGTGAATTTGCACACGCTTCAAGCGATTTGATGATTGATCCACATTATTCTCAAGCTAATGTTTAAAAAGCCATCCCTCATCAGGTGGTATCGAAGTCTTTTGCATTTAGTCAATAGATGTTGCTGCCTGTATCTACCCACTGTCCGCGGTTTGCTAAGTGTGAGCAAGTGTGTCTTACCCAGTGTTGTGGGTTCTGCTTGCCTTGATGTGGACCCCAGAAGGTACCAGTTGAATGGTTGCTAAGCAAGCTCCCCTCAGTGAGAGGGAAGAGAGCAGCTTTTCAAGACCTGTGTGTGAACTCCATTTGTGAGCAACATATATCCAACCTAATCTCCCAAACTGCTGACACTTTATGCATGTGATAATAAAAAGACCAATAAAGATTGGCTTTGTGTGGGCCTCTGCCAAGTCTCTGGGACGTGTGGTTGGTTTGTGTGTCTGGAGGGAGGGAAGAGGGTGGGGAAGGGATGCTAATGGTGGATCACAACAAAAGCATCAGTGTAACTAAGAGCCTGACAGCCCTTGGACCTGGTCAAGTTCAAGTGCTATCCAAATCAGGAAGTCCCTCTGGGATGACCCTGACAAAGGATCCTGGAATCTCTCTGCAGTGGATTCAGAGTCCGCAGTCTGCCACTACACAAACTCACTAGCCCTGTGGCCTCTGGTCTTAAGAACAGACTCAGTGCCCTCCTAAAGGTAGTACCTGTTCCACTTTTGGATGGCCCCAATTGTCAGAAAAGTTTTCCTCCTATCAAGCCCAAATCGGCCTTTTTGTGATTCCTACCCATAGTTCAGGGATTCATGGAACATTAGAGCTAGAAATAACTTTAGAGACCTAGTCCTATCCCCTTATTTTAGAGAGGAGGTAACTGAGTCCCAAACAGGGAATAGCCTGCCCAAGGTAGCAAGAGGCAGGTCTAGGATGTGAACCTGAAGTTAGAAGTGGGACCCTAGAAATATAAGACTTTTGTAACTAGAAAGAACCTTAGAACATAGAATGCTGAAAGGAGGGGGGACCTTACAAAACAGTACATAGGATGTTGCCCAATGGGAGGAAATTTAGAATATAGGATGTGAGAGCTAAACGGGACTTTGAAAAATGGACTGTAGATAAAGAACCAAGAAGTGACCTAAGAAACACTACTGAGCAGAATGGGAAGACACATGACCTGATGCAAAGTGAAGTAAGCAGAACCAGAAAAACAACATGCACAATAACTACAACAATGTACATGGGAAAGCAAAACAAAATCTAAACTGACTCATATGTACTTATAATAGCCAAGCATGGCTGCAAGAAAAGAGATGAGAAAATCACCTCTTTCACTGCCGAGTGTGTGGAACATTGCATGTACTGCCTAAATCATTTTATATATGGCTTAGTTTTGCTTTTTAAAAGTTTCTTTTGATAACTCTTTACAATAGGGGGAGGCTTTCTGAATAGGGAAAAAGGATATATTTGAAAATGAAGGTGACAAAAAAAATCAAGAAAAAAATTTTTTTTAAGAAAATAGAGCATAGAATGTTACAACTAGAAGAGAATCAGAATGAGGCAGCAAGTTGGTGAAGTGGATCAAGTGCTTGGTCTGGAGTCAGAAAGACCTGAGTTCGAATCTAACCTCAGCCACTTACTAGCTGTGTGACCCTGGGCAAGCCATTTAACCCCTGTTTGCCTCAGTTTCCTCAGCTTTAAAATGGGGATAGTAATAACACCTACCTCCCAGGGATGTCGTAAGGATAAAATGAGATATTTGTAAAGTGCTTGGTGGACCTTAAAGTGCTATATAAATGTTAGCTTTTAATCAAAATAGAACGTTAGAGCTAGAAAGAGTCATAAATCTATGCCAACTCACTCATCTTACGGAGAAGGAAATCTCAGCCTGCAAAGGGGAAATGGCCTGCCCTAGCTCACCCAGAATTGGGAGGATGGGCAACAAGAGATCCAAAGAGCTGTGTCCTTCAATCCACCCAAACGGGACAACACCATCAAAAGAATTGGTATCTGTCAGGAATTAAGCTGATTTGGCTGGGAAATGAGAGGCTTGGACTTGATCTCAAATGTTCTGTGTTCTAAGATCCAGTTCTAATATACTCTGTTCTAAAGTTCCCCCAATAATTCTAACCCCTTTTTGTTTTAAAGTCTTCCCCATATCTGACATTCTGTGTTCTGAGATCCATTCCGGTTTTAACTTCCTACATTCTAGAGTTCCTTCCATTTCTAACATTCTGTGTTTGAAACTAATGGAAGGTCCCTTCCCAGTTCTGACCTGGTTTGTTTTAAGGTCTTTCCCAGCTCTAACATCCTCTGTTCCAAAATCCCTTAACAGCTGTTACTATTTGAAGGTCCTTTCCAACTCTGACATTCTATGTTCTTTGTTCAACTATAGTCTCTAAGGTTCCTCTCATTTTTTGTGTCCTCTGGTTCTCTAGCTACCCCTGACATGTTCTCTAGCACTTACAGGTTACCCTATAATGGTATAACCTGCTATACATAAGGGCATGTGTCCAGGCTGAGCTGCTCCATCTGACTAGGACTCCTCACTAAATTCTAATTCGGTCAATTTTACACATCCCTTCTTATGGTGAAGCCTAGGAAGGCTAGAAAAAGGTGACGGAAAGTGTGTGTCTAGACTTTTAGGGAACTAGGCCACAGGCACCCTTCTGAGTACATGAGGCCTTTCCCAACACACAGTGTCATCACCCAAAGTCGGGACAGCATTGGGGGTTAAGCAGCCTGACTACTCAGGTCACTGGAGAAAGAAATGGATGGGAGCTAACCTGGCTGCCTTGCCAGCATCTGAAACTTGGAGATAAAAGCCAAAATTAGAGAACAACAATAATAATAATAATGGCCAAGGATGTTGCTGCCCAAGGCTCTCCTCCAGGAGGCTGTTTGTAGGAGTGTATCAGAGACCCCCATCATGGTCCCATGTCCAATGATGCTGGCAGACATGGGAGGAAGGATAGGAGAGCTGCCAAACAGCCAGTCTAGGGGCAGCTAGGTGGCACAGTGGATAGAGCACCGGCCCTGAAGTCAGGAGGGCCTGAGTTCAAATCCGGCCTCATACCAAAGATTCAGCACTTACTAGCTGTGTGACCCTGGGCAAGTCATTTAACCCCAATTGCCTAAAAACAAAACAAAACAAAACAAAAACAAACGACCAGTCTGCCTGAAAGCAGCTGAATTTGCTAACCATTAAAAATTCAATTTCTGTCCCTCCCCTGGGCCTCTGCAAGCAATTAAGGGAAAATGTGGTATAGCCTTGGAGCCCCTCCCTGGGAGGCAAAGCTTGAATGGGAAGAGTCCTCCTGGTGGGGGCAAGTCCTTCCTGCCCCTTGTTCTGGCTGGATGGCCAAGTTTCACGCTGCCCTCTGGGTGAGGCAGGCCTGCCTGCCCTCCAGATATGGATCTTTCTTGTTTGTTTGTTTTTTTTTATTTTGTTCACTTGTTTTCAGTCACATCTGACTCATCATGACCTTTTTGGGGTCTTTTTGGGGTATCTTTCTTACCTTCACCCTATTGGTGGGGAGTCTCTACCTGAACAGCTGCACCCCATTGGATATGGCCGCTTGGATTCTGAATTGAAGGGAATTCTTTGACATTAAAAACCAGCTTTGAATTTGTAAATGGTTTTTTTTAATTTTTTTTGTCTTTAAATGCTATTACTCGAACAATACTTATCCATTTTGTCTATGAAGACATCTGAATAGCTTAACAATTTATCTACTATCACTCAACATGAAAGATTAAATTGGAGAAGTCAGAAAGAATCAAAAATACAACAACATAACAAATAAAACTGTTACAAGCAAATATTTGCCACCATATGGTGGATATGATCTTATTATTACATTCAGTAGCAGTTAACACTTAAGTTGTTTTTGTTTTTGTTTTTACCATCAAGCACTAATGACTACATGAAGAACAGTAAACTCCTGGCTTTAGAAACTGAGGCTCCTTTCTTTTTTCAAAATCTAAAGACATATCTGAACTGGTTGAAGGTGGAAAGATGGCAGGGCAGGAATGACTTACTCTCTTTTCTATACCAAAAAAAAAAAAATTCCTAAAATGATGGAATCCTTTGGGGAAGATGGTGTTGGTCCCCAATGCTGGAATGATCAGTTGACACTAGGTCCATTCCAACTCTTTGCCCAAGCCCTAAAACTCATTTTAAAAAAAGCCAGTTCAACCCCTGACAGAAAGAGGAGCCAAGTGTCGCCAGGAGCTTATTCAGGAAATGGAAAGGGAAATGCATTGACCAGCTCGCCAGATTCATCCTCCACCTTGTTATAAACCCACTTGCGATTCCGGCGGCACTTGACTCCACATTTCCTGGAGTTGCACCTGGGGCATGGGTAGAAGCAGCCGGCACAATCAACCTGCAGGCAGTCACACAGATCGATACCATTACAGATCAGCCTGCCTTTACGGTCATACTTTCTCCTGTTTTTCTTGGGCCCCATGAATATTTTGGGATGGTACGGAAACACATCAGGCGTCTGCCTAGGTGCTGGGCCAGGTCCTGCAGCAGCTCCTGGGAGCTCCTCTTCCTCCTGGATGTCAGGCTCGGCAGCTGCTGCCTGGACTACTGGACTTTTCACCTTGGAGGAGACACCTGCTACTTGCTTCTCTGCCATCTGGCTTAGAGGAGGGATAACCTCAACTTCCTCTAGGTTGGTATCGGATTCTTCACTTCGCATTTCAATGTCTGCACTCATTTTCGATAACTGGGTGGCAGGATCCTTCTCTCTGCTTTGGCGCAAGCTCCTGGATCTTAAGAATGATAGTAGGGAACATGTCATCATTAAAAATACCTGAGTGTGACGGCAAAGCTGATTTAGAGGCTAGCAACGCCACAAACTTAGGGAAAACAACATTTGAAAGATTATTTTAATTTTTGAAACATTGCTATGTCTCTTGTGAAAATTCAACATAGCCATCATCATGGGCTAGACATTAGTTGATTTTCAAACTTTCTAAAAACTCTCATCAGCTGACATTCAATGATTGAAAAGATTCCATGTGCAATCCTAGCCTGAAGAAAATGCAAAGAGCAAAGTTTTGATGCATATAGGACAGTTTTCACATGGCCCCACAAGAAAAAAAAATCTAGCCGAGCTGGATCAGGTGATCAAGGTGGCAAAGGAAGACAATCCCCTTTACTATCCACAGCTCTGAGAAAGTAGCATCCATAAACTGTTAAATGCAATTTGAGGTAACAGGATGCTCTCATCATATCAAAAATAAAATGAAAAATTTGTTATTCAAAATTCATAAAAAATAAGTGTAAAAGAAACTTTAAAATATCAAATTATTTTTAAAAGTTTGTAGCATTTATGCATCTGAAGTTATTAGAGCTTAAATCTGCACTAAGACCTTTGGGACAGCCTGTGTGTAGCCAAAAGGA